AAAATGTTTGAAGCCTTGTCGGCTTATATACTTGTGGCCTGGTCGGCTTGTATGAATGTTCATTGTAGCGTGTAGGATCAATTGCACAGGCGCACGTAGTCACTGTATTGAATACTTTACGTGTCGGTTTTGTTACTTTATAATGTATATAAATCTTTTGTTCTTTATATTTGTTTGTTGTTCTAAGCGTCAGTGTTAAGTTTGTAATACGTTGCATAATGCACAATTGGATTTTGCGTTTACGTTGATCTCCGGGGGCCCAATTTCCGGAGTTCACCTCGGGCCCCGCCAATCACAGGACCGGCACTGCACTTCATCAAGTACGTGTGTATCAATGGACAATGAAGTAAAGTAATGAAGTATCCGCAAGAGGAACTCTTGGAACCCTTGAATAATTGGGGATTGAAAATTATTAATTTTCTTTCTTCTAATAAAATCCATAAACGTATAATAGTGCTTTCCCAAAACAAATCAGGTCTTTCACTCTCTCTAGAGAACACTGCAAAACTAGAACAACATATTGTTCTTACCATCCCCGTTTAATTGCAGATTTTGCGAGAGATTTAATATTCTGGAGAAATAAGCGTCTGAACATTCTAGTTTTACTCGTGGCAACAGCCACATGGGTTGTGCTAGATATCTATGGATACAACTTCATCACTGTGGCTTCTTGGGTGGCCATGGCACTTGTCTCTTTTACGTTCCTTTGGGGCAATATTCACAAGCTCCTCGTAAAGTAATTAACAGGAAACCATTTATTTTTCAAACCAACTTATAATTTCCATCTGAGTTTAAAAAGTTCTATTTTCAATTATTTCAGAAAGTCTCCAGACCTATCAGGAATGGAAATTAGCGAGGAGACAGCAGTGGAGTCTGCGAAGCTACTTCGAGAACAAGTAGAAAAATGTGTTCGATTAATGTTTCAGGTTGGTGCAGAGAAAGAAGGGTTTGTGTTTACGGGGGTCGTTGCTTGTTTATATGCACTGTCCTTGATAGGAAACTGCTTTGATTTGCTCATACTTTGCTACATTGGTAAGAGTTCGTTCCATCCACCTGTCTTCACTATTTAAGAAAATTTTGCACATAATCTGTAAGTCTTTTTTTTTTTTTGCAGGGGCCATAGGAGGGTTGACTGTTCCTGTGACTTCCGTGAAATACGAGCATAAAATTAAGGAATATGGAGAAAGATTGAAGATGAAACTACAAAGATTGCATGTCAAGAAAATGAAGAACATAAAGAGATGAAGATGGAATAGAGTAGCAACATNGTAATTTTATAAATTCTTTAACCTGGATCCGTGGCGCAATGGTAGCGCGTCTGACTCCAGATCAGAAGGTTGCGTGTTCGATTCACGTCGGGTTCAATTGCTATGTAAAACTAAGGACGTTTGAATCTAAACTATTTGCATTTTGCCAACAAATTGAATATGCTTTGGATCAAATCATGAGGCATTAATGGATAAATTAACATTACTTTTTTCTTCAGAACCAGCAAATTAATTAGCATTAACGTGTATTTCTTCGAAGTCCTTGCTCCTGTGTAAAATGAATTAATCCTATTTTTTGCCAAATATCACTTGATTCCTCTAAAGAATACGACATATCCCAGAAACATTATTGTCCTTGACAACCAGTTTATGCAGTGAAATGGAATGGGAGATGGAAGTCCTTTAGGGAATACAAGGATTGGATGAATTCGAGAAGTTTAATGCAGCTATATATATATACTGTAGTAACAAACTAAGTTCAAATTATAGAAAAGAGCAGCACTGTCAGGACCAAAATTTCTGCAAGTTTTCATACAGGATTACAAGCAATGAGTAAATATAAAGAAACAAGACAACAAAAGCAAATGTTTGTAGTCTGTAATCTCCACAAGTTAACTGCTTAATTATAAGGAATTTGAATATATGCTGCATCACAGACAAATGGAATGTCGGCATACATCCCTGCAAGAGCGCACCTCATACACTCCAAAACTGTGAACAAATAGGCAAATGCGACTGCCGTCCAAAAATGCATCCCGACCTTACCCCAGTACACAGCCAGTGGCATCCAACGGCTCACAGTCCCAATAACCTGCAAAGCTATCTCCAATAGCATGCCCATAACCACATGGAATCTAAAGAAATGTGGCCATTCTTTCCGCCTCACTATTCCAAGGTAAGCAACAAAGAAATAAGCCATCAGAAACCAGCTAGGCAATCTCCCTATAGCTCCCAAAAAGGGATAGGTCAATAATTCAAAATCTTCCAAGAAAGGGTGCAGATGATATGCTGTTTCAGCGTACATCCATGTCTCATGAAGAGGCATCAAATAAGGAAGGCATGCCAAAGATCTCCACCACCACTTTGGCTTCTTGGTCATAGCAGGGTATCTGTAACTATAGGGGACATCCTTGGATGCTCTTGCAGGCAAAAGAAACTTGCGCCTCCAGGGAAACTTCGGTATCTTATGTAACAAGCTACCTTGTTCCCCTTTCAAAAGTGGTGTTGATGCAGCAGAAAGAGAGCAAGGCTGGATGTTTACTTTGACAATTCAAAAATGAAAATTAGGGGAATGATGATCGAAGCCAATAACTTGAATAACTGAAAATGTCAAGCAAACTAGCAGCCTAGGATCATAGAAGTGTAAACAGGACTTTGGCCCCTCAAAAGTGGACCATCTTCTGTAAGCATTCATTCATGATATCCACTAAAAATATACACCAGGGATTGACCAGATTCCAAATTGACTTGAGTATAAGGTTATAGGCATTCAAATTTAGCGAACTTAAATTTCTTCATATAGAACTGGTGTTAGTTATTGTGACCAGACAGAGCATGCAGTTGATAGCAAAAGCCAACACCTCAGCAATCAGAATGAATGAAAGTGAGATTGATTGAATCCTAACGAAGTCGGAATCCCTTCAAGAAAGAGTAGGAAGACATGCAAAGTTGTTTGAATGACATGACTAACAGATGGCCGTTCCAATCAAATCCAGTTTGGCGGGGCACAATTATGTAGTGCTCAAGAATTACATCAGATGACCAACTATGCTTATGGAGGGACATTACCATTTATAGGAACCAATTATACATATGCAAAATAAGACACATAATTCATCATTAAGTGCAAATTACTCATAAGGCAAATTCGGCACCATTTAAACTATGCACTAACTCTTTGTTTGTTATTTATCTTAAATGGGTATAAACACACCTAATGATTTCTGGCATTTCAGACTTGGGAGAAGAACCAATGAACTTCTACTGCATGAGAATACAGTCTTAACCGGCAAGTGAAGTGTGCATGATGATGCCAAGTTTCGAGACCTTGAGCTACACTCTCTGTATTTGTAGGACACATCAACGCCTCGAGAAGTCGGAGAGCATACACTTAGAATCATACCCCAGCACCGAGTTCAACTCCACCTTAACATATAAAGAAACAAGAAAATTCAAATCATAAAAAGCAAACAAAAGGTTCGATCTATGCAGACAAATAAAAAATTCAATGTTGGTGTTGCTAAATATGCAATAGATAATGACGAAGGACGTGTTACATGCATACATGTATATGTGTATGAGTGGGTGATATTCATACATATCTTTTGTAATAAGAATTACATTTTCACCACACAACTTTCACATGTCAAGCTATTGGCAGTGTGAAAATAAGCCTGAAAATTTTTAGATAGATGAAAAGATATAAAAACCTTAATTTTATATCCTTTTGTAATATGTACAAGGAGGATGATCGCAAACACACTACATAGTGCAAATCGTATTCTTCATTTAAGTTAATATACAAAACTTCAGAAGACATTACTTATCCATGCATATGATTATTAAAACGTAAACTTCTTGGAGTTAATTAAATCATCAATCACCAACATTTGGGTTCGATTACTACTTGCTCACCCAGAAATAAATGGTTACCGAATGCTCACCCACTTTCGAAAAAAATTACCCATCCATCACCCGTTTCACTTTCGTCCATCCAACTAGGCAAAACTCTCTACGTGGCAGACGGAAATCTTGCGTGACCACTAACACAATAAAAAATTGACAAGTGGATATTAATTAACACCACAACTAGGCAGAAATCTCTATGTGGCAAACAGAAATCTTACGTGGTGACTAACACCGTTAAAAATTGACAAGTGAATATTAATTAAAACGATTTCTTCCCAAAATTTGAATGAATCGCCGTTTACTTTCTTCACTGTCTTCCCAAAGTAAATGACAATTCATTCAAATTTAAATGACGATTCATTCAAATTTTGGGAAGAAATTATTTTAATTAATATTCACTTTTCAATTTTTATCGGTGTCAGTGGCCACGTAAGATTTATGTCTGCCACGTAGAGATTTTTGCCTAATTGGATGGACGGGTGATGGATGGGTAATTGTTTTCGAAAGTGGGTGAGCATTCGATAATCATTTATTTAAGGGTGAGCAAGTAGTAACCGAACTCAAATGTTTGTGATTGATGATTTAATTAACTCAAACTTCTTGTGCACACATATAGGAAACTATTATTTGGGTTTTTATTATTTCTTATGTAGGTGAGGGGCAAGCTTATTAATATAATCTCACAAAAGCAACATTATTCTCTATCCCTGTCCCTCTATAAATTCCCAGAGATTTCAATTGGGATTGAATATTAATATTTTTTTTACAGAAAATCAAAGAAATTATTCAGAATTCGCAACTCAGTAAGATATTGCTCAGCGCATTTCCATTGTCTTAGTTTTTTTCTAAACGAATAAGTAATAACGATGTAATTCTTTGCACCATTTGCAGTCTTGCATACGCCTAAAGTTTTATCGTGGTTCTATTATCAATTCTACACCTAAACAATTGACAGAAACAGATATGGTACTGGTCTTTTCATATATTTCTGAGAAAATGGAAAATTCGACAGCAAAATTAATAGATAGAACCCAAAAATTGAGTGGAAGAAACACGGGAAGAGAATCGAACACAAAAGGGAGGTAGGAACCTGAATTTTCTAGTCACTTGTTGCTTATCTGGAGAATTCCTTCTACGCAGCGGCAAAACGATAGAGAGAGAAACAAGGAGACTGAAACTCGGGCCGGCGAAGACAGATAATTTTGTTCCAAGTACCTGTGGCAAATTGGTCATTTCATTTAAATTGAAAATATTTTTTTTTTTTATACCTGCACTACATTTGAATTATAGGAAAGATTTTCAATATTTGCTCACTTCTACTTTTATGTCTGTACTATTTTTTCCGTCACATTATCATTCTTAACCTTTAATTGATTAAAAATATTTGTCTCTAATTACGATTTTTCATCCAAATATTTTGTTTAATTTTTATATTAGTTATTTATTTTCTTTATTTAAAAACACGAGATATAACTATATATCTTTTTTACGCTCATAACAAACATTTAGGACGAAAATTGTCTCTATAAATAAGAAGTGAAAATTAATAGAGGATTGATGATAAAAATTTAAAAAAAATAAAGTTGAGAACATGAGTGTAAAAATAAGAAAAATTTAAGGAGATTCATTGTAATTAAAATGTGGTATATTTGATCAAAATTGTTGTACGAATGTATTTACGCATAAGTAAATTATGCCTTTGTCACACCGCATATTTTAAGTGCACTCCATTTTATTTGCAATAGATATCTTTTTTTGTTCATTTTTGCATTACTTTTTTCGTCACTTTTAATAACACATTTTGTTTCTGATGAAGGTCAAAAAATTCATTATGAGTGGCTAAGAAGACTTATTTATCTCTCGTATTTTAAAATATGCAATAAATGCAAAAGTCCAATAAAAAAATTTCAACTTTATCCAGATACTAGGATAGAAACCACCAACAGAGATATAATATACTAATTAATTAAATGTTAAAGATAATAATGTGATCAAAATAGTTGGAGAAATAAGTGTAAAATATGAGCAAAAAGTAAAGATCTCCATTGCAATAAAAATGTGGTTCAATTAATATAAAAAAAAAAAAAAGTGGTGTGAATCAATATAATTAGCCTTTGTTTAAATAAGAAAACAATTACTCGTGTAACCATCCAAACATGGCAATTGGCATACTTGTTGGTAAATTCCATTGGTATTAACTATTGGAGTGTATTTGATTTATTTTATTTTTCGCGAAAAATGTCATTTTTCCACTAAAATTCTTATTTTTAGAGTGTTTAATTGACAACTTTTTTCACAAATAATATTTTTCAATTTTTGGTCACGTGATCATATTTTCTTCAAAAATAGGGAAAATATTTTTTTTAGCGATGTGTGATTTTTATTTTTCAGGGAATTCTTTCTCATCTATCCCCCTCATTTAGCTATCAATAAAAATGGATAAGTATAATATTTTCTAGATTAAATTCTAAATCAATCAAACATATTTAAATAATAATTTTCATACAAATAAGTTCTGAACAATTGAATTGTCTAAATTTATTTTCTTTTCATACAAATTACGTGCTCTCAATCAAATGTATCCTTATTTCACTTAGGTGCAATCAAGTAACTATATTTCAGTTTTAGTCAATTGAGTAATTACTTTTTAATATGATTTCAATTCGATGACTGCACTTTAATTTAATTTCAATTGGATAAATATACGTTAATTTGATTTCAATTAATATAACATTATTCAATTTCACTATTAATAATTGATGAAGTGAGTGTCAATAAACAACCAATTCATACAAGTATAACTCTCAACGGGGAACAAAATATTGTTAATGTACTTGAGGATTTAAAAAGAATTGAAGTCCGATTTTTATTGGAAAACATAGAGAACTTGTTATCCAAACATATCGCACTCCCCAAATGCACGTGTTATACTTCTTTTTTAACGCTACAAAATAGATTGATTAATGAATATTGCTCAAAACAACGGTCGATAGAAATAGAGAAATACAATCAACCCAATCATGAGAAATTAGAAAAATATAACAAAACGAGCAGGCTATTGAGCTGCTTCATTCCCTAGACAGGATATGCGACAGCAAGGGCCAGCGCCTACAGCAACTATGAGAGCGCTACGATTTCTTCAAAATGTTGTACTTTCGGCTAAGCTTATAAAGTGTAGTTTTAAGTTGAAATTAAAATAAATTATTTTGACAATAAAGTAAAAGTTAATATTAAAATTAGTAAACAAAAAGTAACAAATCCGACAGATGGTTGGAAGCATAAAGTCGAAAAAACTTCTAGTTTTATTTTTAAGCTTAGCCAAACAAGCATCCTTTTCTTTAACTGGCACAGTCCCACCAACCATTCACGATTTCAAGCTGCAATGCACAGAAAGAGAGTAATCCAGCACAGCTTCTACTGTACAATAATATAAAAATGCTATAAGAACACTCCAACATAACCACATAGGCAATACAGAGTATAGATTGGTACGTACATCACCAGTCATATAAGCAATTCATAACAAGCCATACAATAACACTGCCAGCTAGTGTTGACATTTATCATGCTTCAATTTCTTCTCAACAGAAGGATACAGACAGCCGAATACAGTTCCATTCTGAACCAAAGTTGGATGTTACTGAGGCTTTCTAAACAAGGTCTTTGTGCAGCCATAATCCAAGAAAACTTTCCCTTGTTTTTCCTTTTTTCCAGATTCCAGTCCTACACACAAATCGCAATCAGAGAGCATAAATGACCTCTCCACTGCTGTCAATATCAAGATCAGGGTCGGATTCCAGGTCTTCCATGTCATCATCCATCATGTCCAGGTTATATAAACCAGCGGAAGGTATGGTAGCCTCTGAGATTATCTGCATGATGACTTCCAGACTCTGCATGGGCTGGTCAGGCTCTTCAAACTGGTTTCCCATCGTCCTTTCATCCATTAAATCTGCCGGAAGGTTCTTCAGGAACCACACGTGGTCTCGGATCTCCGGAATGGTGATGCGCTAACCAGGCATATGTCATAATAGCATAAGACAGTGACAAAAATTTACAATGCAAATGCTCCATCCACATAAAGAAACAACAAGGCAGCCATTTATAAAATTAACTTGGCCATGAAAATAAAATGTTATTCAATTGCACAAAAATACAAGTATATTTTTGGAAGATGGAATCGCTTACTTGTGCAGGGTCTGCAACAAAGATCCGGGAAATTAACTGCTGACATTCCTCAGAAATTTTAACATTTTCTGGAATGGAATACTGAACGTGTAAGATTCTCTGAATTGTCTTTCGGAAGTCCTTAGGTTCTTCAGGATCCTCGAATGGATAAGCACCTACAAGCATTACATATAAAGTGACCCCGCAGGACCATACATCTGCAATCTGAAGCAGTAGATGATGTTAGATTTAACAGCCAGTCAGCCAGCAATCGTTCACAAATATAAGAAAGCAATTCAAAAGGTATTTGGGGGGTGCGCTTATTTAAAAAAAAAAAAAAAGGAAAAAGAAAAAAAGAAAATTATAAGCTACTAAGTTATTACTTGCATTTGTCCCCTCAAGGCTCAGTTTATTATTGTTGTCTAAAGGATTTTTATTTAAAAAAAATATACACTGTTAGCCCTCCAAAACTCAACTTTATGCATTTGATTTGCCCAACTACATTCTGGTAAAAGACATATCAAATGGGAAAAGAGATAAAGGAAAAAAAGAGAGAGGAAAAATAACCACACATTTTCCAAAAATCACTATTATAAAACCTATTCTACCAAAAAATGGGTCTCAAACAACCCCTAAAAATCCATATAGAACTAATTGGAAAATTCTTAGTGAGAGCACCCATTTTACGCTCCATATATCATATGCCTCCATCCCAAACCCAGATGGTAAAATAAAAGAAACTTCCAAGCAAACATCCATAGGGAAAATTTTCAGTAAAATGTCACACAAAAACTACGCAACATGATATCCAAAATATTTCATTAGATTATATTTGAAATCCACATCCAGATGTTCTAAGCATATTTCGTGTTCCTACTATGCATGAAAGATAAATATAGCAAACATATTTGTGATATAGTGTCGAATTCTATCAAAAAAGAGTGAACAGTTTTACCTTGCCATCATATTCTTTCCTAAGTAACACTTCAGGAGCAATATATGCAGGAGTTCCCACAGTCGATTTTGGTTGAGAGTGCAGCAATGAAGACTGTAAAGAACAAGCTATAATCAGGATTGAAAAGGACAAGGTAGACAATTATGAGATAAAAGCAAGTATAACATAATAGGCCAGTAGGGTTTTCTGTATTGTGACTATTGTCCAAAAGCTGATCAAAATACAATTGGACGATCTGTAGCATTACCTTAGAATACCCAAAATCACAAATTTTGAGTCTTGGAGCAGGGCTTCCATCTAACAGTGTGTTTTCCAGCTTCAAGTCCCTATGACATATTTGCTTCATCAAGAAACATAAGATTGATCAATCAACTTATTACCAATCAAAACAGGCAGAAAATAATCATAAAATAAGAAATGAATTTCAACTAAAACATTAGAATACCATCGAATGACAGTAGCTGACTCCAGATATAAGTTGCTGAAAAAAGAAGCGAGCCTGCACAGAAACGGCAGTAAATATCATCAGTCACAATGTGCAGAATGAAACAGCTTAATAATAGCAATTTAATTAAAAGAACCTCATCCTCATTGAAGCGTCCCGCATTACATATTCGCTCAAAAAGCTCTCCTCCAGATGCATACTCCATGACAATGGCCAAATGAGTTGGTGTTAGAATGACCTGACATTGGATATTAAGATTGTGACTAATAAGAAAATAAAACATCTCAGAATCATGTAAATTCAGAAAAGGGATAATCAGCAGCAAACCTCTTTAAATCTAACAATATTAGGGTGCCTCAAAGAACGGTGATTTATAATTTCTCTCTGAACATTTTCATCTATCTGCAATAAACATTACCAGACAGTCATTGATTGTTACAAAATGATATTAGCGAAATATAAAGACGTGCAGAAGATATCTCATGAAGCAAACACAAGCCCTGCAGGCTAAACAGAAATACTTCGTGGAATATCAAACCATAACTTCCTTGGGCATTTCATGGACGAGAGAAAAATTGAAAAACAAAAGGTATCAAGCATAATGTAGCAATTTATCAGAAGTAAGAAACCTGCTGATCAGCCATAAAGTAGTCACCAAATTGCTAAACGAGAATGACTGCTCAAAAGAAAATAAAAAATTACTCTAACCAAATTCTTGCAGTTCTAATTGTGTCATAAAATGAAAAAGAGAGTAAATATATCTAATGGCGACAAAATTACATTTTGACTATAAATAGGTTATAGGCATTCTTGTGAATATTAACTCCTCTTCTTCACCAACTTCATTTAACATAAAATGTGGAGCACACTTAAATCTCAACTATATAAACGGAGACTTGACAATAAATACAAGAAAAACAAAGGCCTCCTGTTTCAAACAAGAAATAAATCATATTCCTACACAGACCACATAAACAATGAAGCAAATGTAACACAAAAACTTCCATCCCATATTTTGCATTGGAGAATTGAGCTTCATCAAAAATCAAATCCAATAGAAATAAAATTGAATTTAAGTTCCTAGACAAAAACATAATACGAGAATCAGCAAGTTGTGATATTTTATATGTACTTGATTTAAAAAGTCTAGCTAAAGTATATACAGCATGTAGCATCTGATAGAAAACCCCAAGAGCCATTTTGGTAGTTACTTAATAGACAGTCACACATTCTATATTCATATAAAATAATCAGAAGATGAGTTTTAGCCCAATTGATAACCAAAACTGGTTCAAAAGCATTTCAGATGTGCTATAAACATGGTTTAGTTTTCTCCTTCAACTCTCATGAGCTCAATGTTAAAGCTTGGATTTTATCTTAAAAAGTCAAATCTTATTAAGCAGAGTAATCCAAACCCTTATAAATTGGTCTATATTTTCATCTGTATTCGATGTGGATTTTTATCCCTTAACATGTCCCGCAAGATGGTGGCTCGATTGAACAGACCAATTTTGAAATCTATGTACTCATTTTTTGAGTCTTAATCGAATTGAATCGCTCGTTTGAGCTCAATGGACTATAATACCATGTTAAGACTTGGAATTTCATCTTAAAAAGTCGACCTTATTAAAAGGAGTAATCAAAGCCCTTATAAATTGGTCTATACTTTCATCTTTATTCGATATGAAATTTTATCCCTCTCAAGAAGCCCTGTTCATTCCCTCTCTTCACTTGCATGATTTTTTCCAGAACTAATATCATATATGTCGACAATGTAATAGAACTCTCCACAAGCAAGCCAATACTGAGCCACATGAATGAAATTTCTTACCCACTCCATTAGCCATCTTGTAGTATGTGGTATCTTGATTTGCACCTAGAGCAACTACAAAGAACTGTTTTAGAGGGGGCAATAATATGGACTGGTGAATTATGAGCCTACGATATCCTGGTTACTTAACTTGCTAAGACCTCAGAGGAAAAAAAACAATGACAGTTCAAAAAAGGCACAACAGCATAGCATATTATTAGTAACGATTTATTTATTAATCTGTTCACTTGCTTTTTTCAGCTAACAAGTTTGAAGACGCCTATCCTCTATTTAAGTAAGCATTTAACAGAAGTATTTCAACTAGAAAAAATTAAAACTCAAAATAGAAAAAGAATATGCTAAAAATCTCAGGAATTGTTTATATTCCCAAAAATAGAATTTTCCGTGTTTGTACCAATAAAAAAAATTGCATATAAAATCAGAGAAATTTCAATATTACTAAAAATCATTTCTAACAGTAGAGAAAAAAAATAAACTTGAATTTCTGTTAACACATGCTAATCTCACCCGATCGCCTCGTTCAATATACTTAGCAGCGACCAGCTCATTGGCCTGTTTATCTTTCAAGAGCCGGACTACCCCAAAATTACCTCCTCCAAGATCCCTAATAACCTCATACTGATCATTGTTGTGCACAATTGGCACACTACCTGGGCCCCTTCTTATTGTCAACCAATCCATTTACCTGATTAGTTAGTAGTATTATCCAATACCAAACTATCTAGTACCACTAACCACCGAGAAGCATCAGCTGACGAAATTGGAAGGAGAGATCTACAGCAATAAGGTGGTTTTGCCAGTGGTCTTTTTTCTTTTTAACGAAAGGCAACCTATCTGAAGAGTGAATGGGAGTTACAGTTGTATTTTCACTCTTCTTGAAAGCAAGGGACGTTCAACGATCAATAGGATTGATGTGTGTTCTGTTGTATTCTATTATAAAGGTAATTGGAAATGGAGAAAACACGATGTCGTTTTGCACTAGTTGGACAGCGTTTGATACGGCGATGTTCTCATCTCAAGACAACAATTTCATTTTTGTCCTATCTTCTTCTCACGTGTTTTCTTCTATAGTTTTTGTTTCCTTAGAAGGCCAAATGACGAAAGCATCCCTTGTTTAAAAAAGCTTTGGCGTGAAAAACAATAATACGTAAGAACTTCATGTCCTATTAATATCAAATATCCTGATTCAAATAGTGCATCTAGCTTAAAATGGAAGATTAATAAGCTTACGCCTATCAGATTGGTGTAAGATATCTAATTGTCAGCATAATTAAATCTCGATCTTCCCTATTTTGGTGACTTGTATGAGAACTTAATTAATTTGTTTCACTCCTTTCACTTCAACTAATTTCCTGTGACCAAGAAGAGCGGAATAAGATCAATATAGCCAATCACAAATTAGTAGGGGATGAGGCTGTATTGAGTGGAGTATCACATTGACTAATTTAATTAATTTCAGAGAAATGACTCAAAATGATACCAGGTCTAATCTCTGAAGTGTCCTTCCAAATTTTAAGTGAGACCTCTTCAACTAAGTGGTCACATCAACACCATTCCAGTTGATGCATCGTAATCTCACATAAAATTTTGTTTTTTCCCCTGAATTACACACTTTTGACGCTTTGATTAACTTCAGTTCTATCTACTATTCATAAGTCCTAACTTCTAATTTCTTTATAGTTTCTCTGCTCTAATTGGGTTTTACATATGTGATGTCAAAGATACGACCATCTTCACATTGACAGCATTAGCAGTCAAACACACCTGTGTTAAATTTATGCAATTTACAGTGAACATCAAATGATTTGTGTGAAGCTAGAACCTAGCTACCAAGACAGAGGTTTGCAAAAATTATAGAAGGAAGAGGACTGTTCTTATTTACATGGATCTGGATCAGACAGCAGTCCCATAGAAGATATAAGTCACGACTCTCAGGACTTTAACTCCAAGGGCCAACCATGGGACCATTAAATCATGCTATAATAATGCATTCGCTTCACTTCAAGATGCTGTTTACCATTAAATATAGGAAAAACTACATTTTCGAGTGAATTGCTTAGCTAGAAAGTTGTATGCCGGAATCTGAGCGACTGATTGAGACTTGAATCACGGTCCATTACATTAAACTTTACTATTAGCAGGTCATGGGATTTTCCATCAAGTAAGGGGATAAGTACATATATGGAAGAATACAACTTTGTTCACAATTAATAAAATATGACTAAATGATGCAAAGACTTTCGACAGGGTCCTCCTAAGAAATCCATAGGACACTGATCATGTCTAATGATGTGAAGTGATTTAGTATCAAAATAACTAGATGATATAACTATTAGCCAAATACGGAATAACTGTTAATGTGATATCTTAAACATTATATCATGAGGATTGAGGATTGAGTATGAAGATCTATAATGCGGAAGAAATAGCCTATAATTTTCAAAGAAAGACGTTATGGTTAGACTTGAATCCTAAAGGTATATTTGATAGGAGTGGAAACAAGATGTAGGGGAAATAAAGAAGTCAGAACGAGGAAAGAATTTTGTTTTTCCACTGCTTCAGTTGGAGTGGAGGGGTGAGGGAAGAAGAATAAGATTGAAAAGAAATATTTTTTCTTCATTTTAAATATTGCACAAGAAACATCAATTCAGGAAATTACTAAAAACCCCATTTCCATTTCTAATATAGATCAAATACGATGAGGATATTCCACTTTCCTTCTGCAAAAGAAAATAGAAATGACTTTTCTCCAATATTTCCATCCCGGAGAACTTCCCCTCTGCAGAAGATGCCCTAATATGCAATCTTAAATAAATATACCCTTATTGTCACAGTAATATACCAACTAAAGTAAGCGACTTTCAGCAGCGATGCCAGTTCTTAATTAGAAGATGGCTAAGAGCTATCTAAGCACAGAGGTCAAGGGCTTGACAGTTCCCCTAATCCGAGTATCCCCCCAGCAAAAAAAAAAATGACTCGTTTCAAAGAAAAGTCCAAGTTCTATATGAGTGTACCCCTTACGCGCAAGTGTGTGCACATCTACATCAATGTCTTCAAAAATGAGAAGCACTTTATAGGTAATTATAAAAAATAGAAACTTCAAGAAACAATTTTTTTTTAATTAATAAGAAAAAGTACATTATATTGAATGACTTCCAAGAATTTATTTTTTATTTTTATTTTTTTTTTGTTAGTACAGAACTTCTTCCTTTCTCCCGGTATTCTCTCTCAACCCACCTAATAAACACACATGTACACACACCGAGAAATTTTTTTCTCTCTCATTACTATACATTATTCAAATTTAATACATGATTTATGGCGAAAGTTTATGCCTTTGGCTACAATCAAAAGCTTCCACTAGAGACATCTATCACTTCATCACCGATGTTGGAGTACAGAGTTGATTGAACAGGGTCTAGGAATGTTAGGGACATGCATCTTTCATCCTACCAAACTGAATTGTAGCAAATGCCATCACTGGACGGGAGTTCAAACTCCAAAAAGGCATATTTGGGGTAACTAGAGTAAAACATCATATGTTTCAATTAGTCAGTGCTTTCTAAATAGTCAGGTTTCTGTATCTACTTTTGAGTAAAAGTAAACCCTTCATTCTTCATTCTTTCTGATAGCGTACATATTTCTGACGGATATAAAAATACACATCCACCTCAATCTTGTAGAAAAAGAAGTTTAGATAAGAGAGCCGGATTCTTTGTACTCGTGGCTCATTTACTTATTGAGAAGCATTAAATTGTGATTAGAACCTGCATAATTATTTACCACCTTAATGTCAATGAGGAGAGTACATAACACACAAGGAGGGATGTTATATAGTTACTCTATACTTATGTGTTAACTCAGGTTATATGTACTTTTAGATAATCTAGTCTAAATAAGGTGATTATGATAGAGATCAGCCTTGTTTGAAAAATTGCTAAATGAAGCCATAGAAAAAGTCTGGTGCAATATAATTATTTATTTACAAAGAATAATATCCATAACTTCTATCAGCTCCACAGACGAAGATGATGTTAGTCCTATTTAAAGCAATCGTTTTACAATGTTATCTTACCCGAAAAAGTAAAACTAATATGTACCTGAAAATCGAAACCTAAAATGCTTAACCAAAGAGGAATTTTAAAAAAAAATCCCAAATCAGGACATTCCAAATTTGTACCAACAACAATAATTACGTGCCGAATTAAAGTGTGTCCAGTATTTACTCGAACCCAATTCCAAAAGCAGCTAAAGACAAGCAAAATACGCAAATAAAAAAAAACTGACCTTGTCGCCTCTCTCAATATACTTAACCGCAACAAGCTCCTTGGTTTGCTTATCTCTCATGAGCCGAGCAACCCCGAAATTACCCGACCCGATGTCTCGAACTAAATCGTATCGATCACTATCGTGCATGATCGGCATATCCATTCCTGGACCAACTGTTAGTTGCGCCCGATCCATTTACCCAATTGACTAATATTAGGTTTTAAGCCAACTTCAATAGATGAAATTCAGTTCATTCACATTACTCAGTTCACTAAACGACCGCGTTTCGCTACCGTCGGTGAATTCTTTCCAGTTCGGCAGATCGGAAGGAGATCGGAAAGCGAACGGTTTGGGTCTAGGTCTTTTGGAATTAATTGACTGATTAAGAAAGTGTAAAAGGCGGTTGTATTTATACTTGCACTTTTAGAGAGAGATATTTTTGGTTCTGTGGTCGCGAAGGATCAGATAAATATCTCTCTCTCTCAATGTTTTTTCTGTTATAGGATAATAGGAAACAGCAGTAACATGATGGAGAAGAAAGTAAGGATGACGATACGATGTCGTTTTCGTCAAGCTGGACGACGTTGAATACGACGACGTTTCCTCTCTATCACTATTGGATCCAAAAATATTTTTGTTTTTTGTTTACTGAATTTTTACACTTTTCTTTAAACCGATTTCTGTTGTCTTCTTCTACTTTTTTAGTTGAAAAATGCTATGCATCCCCAGTCTATGTGGATGTAAATGATTGGTTAAATGATAGGTAAAATTAAATAATTTATTTAATTTCACCTATCATTTAATGCCACATTAACGCCACATAGACTGGTTAAATGATAGGTAAAATTAAATAATTTATTTAATTTCACCTATCATTTAATGTCACATTAACGCCACATAGACTGAGAATGCATTCTCAATGGGGATGAATACCATTTCTCTTTTTAGTTATCCCTTTTTTCCCCCCTGTTTCGTGTGGGTGATAAAACGACAATACTATCCCTGACTCGGATAAACTTTGGCGTGAATAACCATGATGGGCTGGGCATAGATCCAACCGGAATATGAATGGTGCCAATTCATTGACAATTCAATATCATTTAATTAAATTAGTTAATATTGTTAATTCCTTGTCGTATGTTTAATTTGTCGTTTACTTGATTAGTACGACATACATGTATACAAAATTGTGTCAAAAAAATTCCATAATTCATAAAAGATACTCAACATTAAATAAAAATTAATTTTAATGTTAAATAATGTGAGATGTGTAGAAATAAGAAGAGAGAGAAATGAGTTTTACTAAGCTCGTATAGGTTAAGATATAAACCTTAATTATTGTTGTTTTGTGAAATCATTACAAGAATCGACATGTCCGATAAGATTGTCGTGGGGGTTGGATGGGGGGCAAGAAACTTTCATGTGTGCGGGGGCTCCGCCCTTGACAAAAATAACTCAAAATTTTCAAAATTATAACTTGAATTTTGCTCTAACTAGTCTTACAAGTAGAGAGTAGTTAGAATCTTGTATCATCATCAAAAGAGAGATGTTGTTGAAAAAATTAGTATTTTTCAAGTTTTCTCCTGTAAACTTCTTTTCATCATAGTGAATCATTGAAGTAGAAGAAGATAGCATGGTCTTAGGAGAATCTCTATAAATTTCACGTATTCTTGTGTGTTTATTTTCTTTTCTATGATTTGTACTCACTAATATAGAATTAAAATTTCTAATTTTCATATTGATGAAGCTCGAAATTCGAATATATAATACGAGGTATGGTTTTATTGGATATAATGTGACTGTTGAAACATTTAAGTCAATTAACAAGAACATAAGTTCCTATTTGAGCCACATTATTTTTTTCATTCTCATTTTCAACTACACATTCTTCAATAGAATAATATTTTTCATCACATCAATAACTTTTCTTTTTTTTCAACCACATATTCTTCATTACGTCAACAAAAAAAAAAAGTGCATTTTTCGAAAAAAAAATGTGCACCAAAGAGGGGTTCGAGTTTTGGGGTTTCTAGAAGTTTTGACGTAGTCAAATTTATCTTGTATTAAAATTGAATTACCTCAATGTCAAAGTCGATTGATTAAATTATGCGAAGGAAGACTAGTTTTCATGGTTAGAGGCATTTGGATAAGATGGTGGTCCAATAATAAAGAGTCATGAATCCCTCCTGTGTCTAACCATGGGACCATCTTCTGTACGCGTTTACACTTTTTTGTCACGGTCGGTGCAAGATATTTTCAATAGCTAAGAAGATAATTTATTGTACATTCCGCGGATAGTGTGAAACAAGAAAAGTCTACTCTTTCCAATTAAAGCAATAAAGTAGGGGACTCGCGAGGATGTCGAACGTTGTTTTTGGTGTTAAAACTGGTTAGTATAATAGTTTGCGTAAAATAATATATGTATGGAAAGTAATTGAAATAATTTAAGCTAACTTGAAAGGATCGTACTATGTTTCACCATAATCGTATTTGTTGTGATCTTACATGTTTTGCCATTTGAGTAGATGAAACATGCGAAGGAATATATTGGGTGCGAGAGTAATTTAAAAGGAAAAGAATAACGAAATCGGAGTTTATATTTTTAGAGGTAGAATACTAATTTTTTTTTATTACTTTCAAATGTCAAATAAGTTTGAATATTTATTGACAAAAAGAATGAATATAGAGAATGTTCGATACTTGACACGTGATCTCATCTTAACGACTCGATTGTCAAAATGTTATATTTTGGCGATCATAGGCCTTTGACCTCCCATACAGTGTCTTAGGTGGGAAAGATGGGATTTGATTTCTAAAAATCCTTGCAGAGATGTCGAGATTATTGTTGTTATAAAGCATCATGCTTCGGACCATAACCACATCAAATTCAGGGCCTGCCTAATGAGATTAGGGGTGAATCATCTGCTGATCGCCTTGGACAAGAGAAGTGGAGGTTTGCATATAGCCACGCAGCATTGAGATGCACTCTCAACACCTTGAAATAGGAGGTGATCGGGTGATGGCAAATGACATTATCGTCTCAAAGAATATGTGCTCACGTGATATTTTACTTAACTAATAGGATGCCTTGCGCTTTCGAATGTCCAAAAACAATGCCCTCAAATATTCCAAAAGAATATTTTAAAATATCCGATTACAGGTCTTACCTTAAGCTTAACGTTCGAAAAGTTTTTTACATGATGCCTTACGCTTTAAATAAATGGAATTTCAAGCAAAAATGTCAAGAAAAATAATGAAATTTAGCTTTCCAAACGTTATTGCATGAAAAGAATTTCTTTACACTTAATGCAATTAATTCCAAGAAGTCAGAACTTTTCAATTTTATTTTTTGGCAAGAGTTTTGTCACACACTAAAATTTAAATTTTAAAATCGTATTAAGTTGAGTTTCTTATTTTTCTTTTTAACTTCAAATTTTATTTTTTAGCAAGATGATGACTTCATTAACATGCTCCGCAAGATGATGATTGAGCAGATCAATTTGGAATCAAACTTGGAATTTGTGTGATCGATTGAATTTTTAGTCTTATCAAATTGTTCATCTGAATTTAATGGACTCTGACAACATATTAAGTTTGTGTTCGGTAGAGATTAAAATCGGATTAAAATTAAAAAATTAGCCATTATTGTTGAGTTTTATTGGACGAGTGGAACCCACAACGGTTATATTTCAATTTTAATTAGATTTTAAGTACGACCGAACACGCCCTAAGACTGGAAGTCGATCTTTAAACGTTAACCTTGTTAAGAAGAGTAGCTTATATGTCTATATTTCAATAATTAACTGATGTGAAATTTATCTCCGAACAATTTGTGATTTCAATTAATTTATCATTTGTACTCAAACAACGGACAGTTATTATCGGGGGAGCACTTCTACAAAATTAATTTGATATTGTAAAATGTCCCTTGCTTGAGCTCTAGCTTCTAAAGGATTATTTTGCCATCATTGTCATCGCCTAAACCTATTATGTGCATATATAGATGTGGCATTAGGTATTATGATGTTTCAATTGTCAAGGACAAACACCTTTTCAAATGAACATTTACATTATATTAAAATTTCCTTCTCCCATTTATACCCACCGGATTCGACGAATTGTACGGGTAGTTCTCCATCACTGCACGTTAGCTATGAGCAGAAAATTTTAGGAATGAATGATTACTCCACTTGAGACTGAACTCTGAGAAGAATAATGGGATAATGGGGGTGGGGGGGTTCATTAATTTGCTCGAATTTGGGTTCTATTTTTCAATTTGGGCAGGAGCAAAACGTTTTAGGTTTTTTCAGGAGGTGTTTTGATGGTGGGGTGGGGTGGGGTGGGGTGGGGAAGACGAAGATTCAACAGTTTCTTTCTTCATTTTTTTTTAAATTATTTTTTTAATTATTTTAAGGAATAAATGACAAAGTTACTACTTTACCCTTTTTAATTAGGTCAAAATTGGTCAACATCTACTTTTTTTGTTGACTAACGGTCAACTTAACGGAAATCATCCATTTGGACTGTAGGTGTGAGTTTTTTAAAGGTTTGAGACTGTGGTGGTACAAATCAAAAGTTAGGGTAAAGTGCGCAAAAATCTGAAAAGTTTGGGACCGCAGCTGCAATTATCCCTTATATTAATGTAGCAATATTATTATTATTATTAATTTTTTAAAATTCATCGAACAGAAAATTCGATCGCCGAAGTGAGAATTTTTATGGTTTTTTTTAAATCCAAACCTTGGTCAACATGAGAATCTTTTTTCAGATTATTTTAATTTTATTTTATTTAAAAAAAAAAAACCTTTTACCATTAGCTTTGTATATAAATGTGGACAAAGATTATGGAAATTAAAAAGGAATAACTTTCTAAGGGTTGGACTTGAACAAAACTAGGGGTCTGTTTGATTACAAGAACGTAATTTGGTTGAAAAGAAAATGAATTTCAAGAAATTGAATTGCCTAAAACTTGTTTTATTGAGAAATGTCAATTAATTGTGTTTAATTTGTATAATTTTTCACATGAAAATGTTGAAATTTTGGATCTTTTGGTATTTGTTTGACTTTGTTTTCCATGAAAATTGTCCAATAAAAGAATATAATTTGTTAGCATTGTAGATATAATTTGTTTCAATTGTCACATAAAAAAAAACCACTAGAAAACTATTTTCCCACCAAAGTGGTGGGAAAACCAA